TTTTAAGACAAGTTCTCTACTGCAATGATCAGTTGTTCAGAATTGTAATTAACAAGACTATGATTTTCTTGGTATATTTTGCATTAAAATATAGAGGTACTAGAAATGAAAAGAAAATGACAGGAAGCATTCACAGTGTCAGTGGTTGAGGCAGCTTACACAATTTTCTCAGATAACCATCCTCCCATTGATTCATGCAGGTTCTGTGGAAGATCCCAATGATATAGGGTAACATAAGGCTGGATACCTGAAGTCAGAAATTATAAATGCTTAACTTGATGGATAAACATGAAAGCAGCAATGCAAAGTCAGAAACCTTTTTCCAGTAGAAAATCTATCAGACTGTTGTAGAAGGCAATCCCTTTCTCATTAATTTTGGTTCCTAATCCATCTGCAAAAAATGATTAAAGGTAAACTCTTGAAGAATGCAGAATTAAAGCCAGAAGAGTAGATAGTTTCACGAAATCCTTTGCACTATAAACCAAATAGATATATGAAAATGAAAATTGGAGTAAAGTTCAAACTGTAATCATGACATTGTCACACTATTTCCTTCTCAAAATCTAAATTTTGGTCTTAAGGAGCATTGCGCTCGTGAATTTTTAGATAAATACATACAGCAAAGACTTGGACATGTATGCTCGCATGCAACAGATAAAATATCCTCATCAGACTAAGGTATGAGGCTCAGCGTCACTCAAACCATAGTCCTCATTAGAAAATCTTGCATAACGAGAATGCAATGTAATTGAAAATAGTATGGGTTTGACCCATCTGCAAAAAGGTAACTAGTCTTTCCCATGCTACAATACAATCATTTCAGTAGAATAGAAAAGGAAGACAAAACTATGAATAGTGTTTAGATACTTATGGCATCAGAGAAGACGAAAGGTTAAGTATTTTACATGCCACATACAAGAATTCATAAGAATAAAGGTAAATAACATACCAGGAAAAATACGAGACCATGATATAGAAAATCTATAAGCTTCAAAACCTAACTCAGCCATAAGATCCACATCTTCCTGTTTTCAGGAAAAAAAACATCAGGGAATTATTCAAAGAGCATGGAAGTCATATTAAAGGCTAGCTCCATCTGTGGAAAAGGTATGGTAATCAACCTTGTAGCGATGATAATGGTCAACTGCAATGTCTCCGTTGCTCCCATCCTTAATATTTCCTGTAAAACAAAGTAACAAACCAAGTTATTACAAATAAATTTACATAGAGAAAAGAAATATTGGTCAATAAAAGATTATAAAAGGAAACCTTTCGTTTCAGCAAAAACATCCCAGATGCTGTCACCCCTACCATCCTCTGATCTTGCTCCTTCAATCTATCAAAAAGCAAAATAAAAATAAAAATAATTAATAATAATAATAATAATAATAATAAAGTCATTTGGAAGTTTATGGAAGGCTCATAATCAATCCAAAAATCAGTGGAGCACACTTTTTCCAATAAGCAACAGGTGAAGTATTTTCATTATTTAGTGGTGGTTATTCAATAGTAAAAGATAAAAAGAATACACATATATTGTAAAATTTCCCTAAACAATGAACTTCATTAAGGTTGTGATATCACAAGCGCATTGTATGTAAAAGGGCCCAGGCATGCGATTGTTCATTTTTGTATATCATGTGAATAATCTGTAACTATATTCATGCATTTTATGTTTCAGGGGGTGTTTAGCAATTCGAACTGAAAACATGAAAGATATTTTTTTTTGGCAAATAACTTTCACATCCACTTTAGAGCGTAAGTAAAATATAGTGTTTGTTTGGAAAACAAAATTATTGTTCAAAGTGCAACGTGAAGATGATGTGGCAAAATAGAATTAATTAGTATATGTACTTAAAATCATTTATTTAAAATTGATTACCATTTTTGTCACTTTCATCTGACTTCACCACTGTCAAAATTGCATTAAATCTTATGTGGCAACTTTCTTGCATTTCACTTTCGTAACAACTTGCACGCAAAAAAACACCTAAAATATTAAAAGCAAGTCACTTTCTCACTTTCGACTTTCACTTCGCATGCAAACAAACAAGCAGCGTTTACAACTCTGATGAAGTTACAAAAGGCAAATTTTTACAAACACTCTGTCTTCTTCAATTTTTTTTTTCCCTGCATGTTGTTTTAAGAGTCCATTTCAAGTCAAAGAGTCTGCTTTTCTTTTATTTTTATTTTTATTTTTAAGAAAGGGGTCTTTTTTTTGTGTGCAGGGAATCATTTATAAACTGCACCTCAAACCCATAACAATGGTAGATTATGCTTCCATTCCAAAATTTTCCAGGGGAATCATTAGAAAAACCCTGAGAATTCGGAGTTGCAAGCAAATGAACAAAGTGGTGAATACACTTGCATGCACGTATATTTTGATTCAAAAGCAAATCTTTTGACCAAAACAAACAACCCTAGCAACAAACAGATTTTTTTTTAAATGTATATGTTCGAGAAATTAAAGGTTTAATTCAGACGCAACGATGATAAATTAGCAGCTACAAGAGTGATATAAATTAATCTCTGATACCTTAATTTCCGCAAATTATACAATTTTCACCCCCCCTGTAATTAGAAATGAGCACGATTTGGATTCAAAAGATCGATCAACGATAAGAGTGACCTGATACGCTGACGTGGCGACGCCGAAGACGAATCCATCGGGGAAGTCGCCGCGAGAGACCTCCTTCNCTGGATAATGAAGCTTTCGACAACATCAAATGCACAAGATTAGATAACTCTAGAAACGTATGCTCAAATAGCAACAAGACTAGTAATCTCTATCAAGAGACAAAATAAACAAAGTTTCCAAGATCACAATCTAAGAAATGTAGCAGGTAATTCTCACAACACTCAAGTATATGCACTCAAGTAGATTTTTGGCTTTGAAACTGTGAGAGGAACTTTCAATTGAACTTTCAAAGAGTGAGCAAAAACTTAAAACTTTGTAAGTGGATTGCTCAATAGTGTTGGTTTGCTTGATGAGAAATGATATAAGGCAGGAGAATATATAGGCAAACAAGGAGCAAGGCCTAACGGTAGCATTTACTACCATTGGAGCTTCTCTCGGATCAAGGCCTAACAGTAGCATTTACTACCATTGGAGCTTCTCTTTTGTAGCAACTAGCAGCATGGAGAGTTTGTATCATTCTGGCAAGTACTTTCCAGCGGTAGCAGCATTACAGTTCCCATTTCAGAAAACCTGACTTGCACTGTTATAAATAGCGGTAAATAGCTCCGCAATAGCGGCGCTAATAGCGTTAGCGGTCCCTTCCCGCGACGCTATCGCCCGCTACGCTATCGCATAATAGCGGTGACATATTGCGGAATATGTTTGTTCGCAAAAACGGTCAATAGTGTCATAATGGTAAATAGTGAGCGATTGCATTCGAAATTTACTTTTTGACTGCTATTTAAACGCGGTTTGAGGCTTATTTTTTTAAAATTAAACTCAACCCTTGACCATTGCATTCCACCGTCTCCTGTGATTTTCAACATACTCTCGCCACCTCTCATAGCCTCTGGCACCTACCTAATAATTCCTCTCACCTCCTTCATCGTGAGTTCCTCTTAGGGCAATCCTGTCACCGCTAAGCTCTTGTTCTCGAAGACGATAACTTTTTGACTCCTCTAGTCATCTTCGGTATTATGTGATGGTTACATGTTTATTTCATCTTTAGGATTTCTTTAAATCGTCCAATATGTACTTTTAGATTTCTTAGATTTTTCTTTAATTTTTTTTAGTATTTATACATATCTAAATTAGACCGCTATTTGACTTTGCGCTTTTTACCGCTATTTTGCCGCAATAGCCCGAAATAGCCTTAGCGATGCCTCACCGCTTTTGCCGCAATAGCCCGAAATAGCCTTAGCGATGCCTCACCGCTACGCGACGCTATCCGCTATCGATAAACGCTATCCGCTATCGATAAACTTGCTGACTTGGCCTCATTTAATGTAAAGTGCAAGGCTTGCTTCCGGGAGTCAAAGTTGAGTGTTTAGTGCATTGATTCAGGTGCAATAGGCTTAGGGTTTAACTGAAATAGGTAGGAGAGAGGGACAGTAGGCTATGACGTCTCACCAACCCTTAATATTAAGCATAAGAATATGTCAATTGATCAACAGTAGGATCTTGACACAAGGGGTTCTCCTTAGAGATAGAATTTACGTTTTGGTGAAGGAGGGAATCTTAATTGTCAGAGGCTAATGTCTAAGTTGTGCCTAACCATACTTACATTGCTCACAGCCTAAGACTCTGACTGACATCCTGCTACCCCAGCTTCACCAGCTTCAGTCCTACTTCCAGCTGAACGTTCCACAGTTTTTCTGAATCTTCCACTGGTTCCTCTTGCGTCTTGATTTACATTGTGCACGTTGTTGAAGTGTTTTTGACTTTTTTGAGATTGATCCTTTCGAGCTTGTAGTTTGACTTCTTATTAGAGATGATTCCGTAGTAGTTTGAAGTCTTCTATTCATCCAACAATTGAGTTAAGATCTGAAACACTTAAGCAAACTCATTATGTGTAATTTAGTTCATTAATTAAACTTAGGGTTCACATTTCCCATCGAACTGCACTACTATTTGGTGGGAAGACAAAATTTGAAAGTTGAATGGTCAATGGTGGCTCTTTTATTTCAATAAAAAAATTTCAAGATTTTCTTTTTCATGCAACTGAACTCAATATCTCTCCAAAAATCATCCTTCATCCACACTGTTGTGTGAAACCAATCATTCCTGATGTATCTATTGTGGAATGTGGAAGCTGAAGTTCTCTTCGCTACTAGACTGGTATCTTTTTGACTCTGATGATGTAATACATGATAACTTTGTCTTCTATCACAAAATGATACAAAGCAATTCTAAAGGAGAGAAAATTGATAATCGAACAAGAGAATAATATTTTGACGTTTCTTAATGAGGAGATTTAATAACTCTAGAATGGAAAATGAGGAGATATAGGGTTCATATATTGACAAGTTCCTTTGGATCAGTGTTTTAAATATCGGCCGACATGTCGGACATGTCGGCCGATATAGCGGATCAAGGTGTCGAGCGACACAAATCGGGGAAATACAAGTCGCATATCGTTTTTGGGCGATATATCGGTCATGTCGGCGAAAAATCGGATATATCGGCCGCTATTTCCTATTTGAAAAATCGGCCAAAATTTATGAAAATCGGTTCAGCGATATATCGTGGTTTTTAACTTTCCCTTTTTTCTTTTTACCCTTCTTTCTTTTCCTAAATTATCATCATAAGTTTCTTTTTGTATCTTGGAGCAAATTGTGGACAAAAAGTAATTAAATAATTCTTTTGGATTAAAAGTAAAATTAGCTCTAACTTGATTTTTTTAGTAATCCTCGGAATATGAAAGATTCAACTCCGGTAATAATCCTTGTTTAATTAATATGATGGGAATGCTTGCATAAATATTTTTTTATATCTTTACATTTTAGCTCTTTACATTTTAGCTCTAATCTTGTTTAATTAATATGAAAGATTCAATGTCTTAATTTTTAGTAATCCTTGTAATAATCCTTGTTTATCATTTAATAATCCCTGATTTCTCGTATATTGTTTACTTTTTTAGCTCTAATATTGTTTACATTTTAGCTCTTTACATTTCTCATATATTGTTTACTTTTTTATATGTCTAGTCTATAAAGTTTATAAAGTATGCTTATATTGAATTTAAGAATGCTTAGATTACATTTAGGACATGATATTGTACATATGCGCCCACCCGATATGGCAATCCGATATTTAGTCCATATCCCCCGATATATCCCCGATTTCCGCTATCCGACATGGATTTCAGCCGTCCGACATGAACCCGACATCCGATATTTAAAACCTTGCTTTGGATGCATGTGTATTTTCTGATTTCTCACCTACGAATCAGTCTTTGCATAAGTTATTTAAGGAGTAAAAAAAAAGAAATTATTACTAATGCTATTATTTAGTTACCTTACCACTTCTGTGCCCTTAATGGTTGTGATAAATTTCATAACAATTAGGTACAGGCTGTTGAAGGCTAGAAGCTTGCATTTAGAGTGTTTGGTCAATTTGAACTAGGTTCAAATAGATCGGCAATAACTAGGTATCAGGCCTTGTATGCAAGGTTTTAACTTTTTACAATGTAGAAGATGGATTAGCAAACTTTCACCTTGGAAACATCTCTTAATAGAATCTTAAAATTTGTACGTCTCCATCAGCTTTGCCTGATAGTGTAGTCAATTTTGCAACAAACCATATTAAGACCTCGTTCTCTCTCTCTCTCTCTCTCTCTCTCTCTCTCTTCTCTCTCTCTCTCTCTCTCTCTCTCTCTCTCTCTCTCTCTCTCTCTCTCTCTCTCTCTCTCTCTATGTATGTATGTGTGTGCGTGCGCGCGTGTGTGTGCTGCGTGCATGGTGTTATTATGGACAAGTGACATATCTAGAAAGGGGTAGTCAAATTTTTTTAAATAAATAGATCACGTAGAATACAGTTACATAATCTCACAATGTGGAACTCAACAATCGTCTTTTCTATATACTGACTACTCTAATACTCCTCAGGCCGAAGTTTTTGTATATCATCATGTCAAACTTGTTAGTTAAAAAAAGAACTTTTTCTAGCTAATTATTTTAGTGAAAAACAAGTCACAATCTTCCTGGTTTGCACAAAGCAGTTATCTCATCTCCAGCCCTCAACAGCTTTATCTCCAACAATATCATGGACCTCGTAGGGATACTGGACCTCAGCCGCCATCTCATTTAACATAATGAGCTTCAACGAGATAGTAGTGATGAGGTCCATCCATTATGATGTGAGTCATGTGACTATCTCTTAGTAGCTCATCCATGAGTTGCTACCTCATGTCTATTTTATATCTATATGCATAGCACTATATATGTGGTGGTTTCCATTTCATAATTTGATCGTACCGGACTGTGGATGCTGTAAAAGTGTTACTAATTTCTTCTCTATTTTGTATCCTATTCACAGATTCCATTCTTTTTCCTGAAGTACCAATTGCGCTTCGATTGTCAAGCCATCTCCTGCTTGGTGTGGTCAGGATATACTCGCGGAAGGTGAATTATCTCTTCCATGATTGCAGTGAGGCATTGCTGAAGGTAAAGCAAGCTTTTCGGTCAACTGCAGTTGATCTTCCGCCAGAAGAATCAACTGCACCATATCATTCCATTACACTGCCTGAAACTTTTGATCTTGATGATTTTGAGCTACCTGATAGTGCTTTACTCAGTGGGTAAGTCCACTTCTTATTACTCGCAATTCACAAACAATTGTGGGAGAATTCAATACTTGTGTGTTTCACATCGCTACAACCTGCTATGTTTGCATCTATATGGAGGCTGATACTCTTTTGTTAATTTCTATGGAGGATGGTTGGTGGTGGGATAAGGGAATCTGTAGCGTATTGTATCCATCAGTTCTTGTTGCTTACATCTGTAATTCTCTATGCAGTAACTTTGATGACCGCCATGTCAGTACAAGAGAACAGATTACGCTTCAGGATACGTTGGATGGTTCTGGATACTCAACATCACGATTTGGATTAGATGGTAATAAATACATCTGTAATCCCTCGTCTCAAGTCTGAAATAGGTGTTGCTTGTCAATTCTAGATTGAGATACGTGTGATAATATCTGATTATGCAGAGAGATTTGGTGAAGGGGATGCTTCTCAGATTGCTTTGGACCTTGATGAGGTATAGGATCTGTTTTTTCCTTTCGCTTTTTATCATTTTCTGGTTGATGAGGTTAGTATTTTGGAAATTGTCTTTGGGCAGGTCAAAATAAGGACCTCTGAGAAATTAGACTATGCTGACCTTTCTGTTCTTCATGCTGTTTCTGGAGTTCTGATTTAAAATTATCTTAGTGTTTTGCCTTTTGCTTTGTTATTTGCAGGAGCTATTGTTGGATAGTAATATCACATTTCAGGATGCTTCAGTTTTGGATGAGTAATCTCTTGTGCATTTTTTCTGAAAATTTCTATCCAGTTTAAAGTTTGTATGTTCAGATCTTGCTTCTGTTTTGTTCCTTGGAGTTTTACATTGTTTGGTTTGATTTACCTGTTCAAAACTTACTTGATAGTTACAAGAATCGTGCTCTTTAGTAACATGTTCAGGTAAAATTATGGGTAAAGTTGATCTAAATTCTGTTATTTATTTATGTGGCTGCCTACTGTCTTCTTTCCCTTTATAAAGCCACTTCTAACCAATATCAAGTTTGTTCGTAAGAAGAGTGTGCTCGTCCTACAAGTTGGTAATTCACTGAATTTAGAAGTGTTGCGATTGCCCACTTTTTCTATGATCAGTCAGGGGACACAAGTTCCATTTTGTGCTGTATATGCTTAAATGTACCTGTTAAGAGAGTCAATTGATATCTTACACGCTTTCGGAAATACTTAATCATGTAATTGTTTCACTCTTTTTTTTCATATCGTGCTGTACCTACCATGGGGTTCATCAGACCTGTTTTAATTTGTTTTATGCGCCTGTTTGCATATTTGTTTCTGCCTGAATTCTAAGTTTCCCCCTATCTTCAGTGATGTGCATCAGGCGGGGGCAGCTGACCTAGGCCAGCAGGTCCGTGATGAGGATAGGAATGATGATGCTTCAAACGAATTGTCAGACCTTTTAGGCAATAATCGGGGCAAGCACATTGTTTCCACAGCTGACAATGTGAATGTACAGGATGATTCTTCTCATAGACTAATATTCAACATTCAGACACCTGACTTAAATGAAATATTTTTACCTGACAATCATATTGGAGGTCCATCTGCAGCGCATGACATCGATATGGACTTTGCTGCTGGTGATCATCCATCGCCTGAGTTTACTGTTAACTTTCCTTCCACGCCTGGACTATTGGAGGAAACAATTCAAGCCAACTCTCAAGAGCTTTCAGCTTCTAATCCTCAGAAAATTACACAACATACTGCTCTTGAGGCTGAGAAGCCAATCAATCAAGAAGTTGAATGTCCTGATGCAACAAATGACCGTGTCATAAATGCAACAATCCAAAAATCAGCCAATCTCTCTCAAGTAGTGTCCTCCCCTACTTCAGTTTTGGCTGAACCAAAACCTGATTCAATAAATGATGCAGGACACAAACATGATTTGTCTACTACGTTTACTGTTGTGTCTTCCTCTAGTTCAGTTTTGACTGAAGCCACCCCAGCAGCATCACATTCTTTAGGTGGGACATCATCAGGATCTGATGTACTAGTTAGGTCAACTGATCCCAAGCTGGCAGAAATTTCTCCGGCACTACCTTCCTCTACTTTAGGCCATACTGAACCAGTACCACAATGTTCTGATGAGGTTATAGCTGCTTCGGGTGTGGATTTGGGGTCCAATTTGAATACAGGGGATACCTTACATGGTGGAATCTCTGAAGATTTAGCAGGATCAGCTGCTGTTATGGACAAAACTACACTTGTGGATCCCAAAAGCTTATCAAACCTTGATCAAGAACGTGTAGAAGATGCTAATTGTAATCAGACCAATAATTTCTCTTCTTTGACCTCTGATTTTCATTTGAGATCTTGTACCTCAGAGTCCAACCTGGCTAGCTTAATGTCTCCAGAGGGTGTAGTCCAAGAAAGGGCTCAAGAGTTTTCTTTCAGAGCTGAACCTTGCAATTTAGAAACACAAACAGCGGATAAGGAAACACTGTTCAGCAAAGCTCCGGCGCATCTGCAAGGTTTGTTCAATCAACTTGGCACTTTCTCTCTGTGCAGTTAAATATAAATTACCTCGTGTTGGTTTAGAAGCGTTTGATGATTTTCAATTTCAGCTTTCCACTAAGCTATAGCTGCGTATCCTAACTTTAGAGGTCGATCAGAAGTCTAACAATGTTATTAGAGCTGAATTCAGTTGTTAATAATCTAGCAGGTCGCGAGAACTGTTTTTCAAGTGCTGAGTTACCGGAACCTGAAAGACTGCGTTTTGCTCCGCCAGGAAGTTTTGATCTGTTAACTGTTCCAGGGGAGCAAACAATAGATAAAGGAGTCCATGAATCTGATGGAAGTGTTGACAGGATTAACAATCTTTCCGGAAAGAAGCGCCATTTAATAGACGGCACACCTGACCTGCAAAATGGCATGTCACCAATGATGTCTGGAATTCCACGAAAGAAACGAAACAATGATTATATTATTCCTGACGACGACGATTTATTGGCATCAATTTTAGGTAGAAAATATTTTATTTCTTTTTTACCATGATTGTGCCTTTTTGTCTTGTAAAGTTTTTGTGAAAGATGGAGTTAATTTAATTCTTAATATGGATGCTATTTACACCAATTTGTTTTGCTCGAGTTTGATTGAAACTTATTTTCTTCAGTTGGAAGGAGGTCATCGGTCCTCAAGATGGGCCCAACTCCCCCTCTTCCAAAAGCACCACCTGTGAAGCGCCCTCGCTTGACAACCAAGGTTGGCTTGCCCAAGAGGAGGAAGGTGCTCTTGGATGATACAATTGTGTTGCATGCTGAGTATGTGACGCTTGTACTTTTATACCTTACTATACTATTATCTCTTAATGTTCAAATTTTCAATTTTTTCCGACTCATTGTTTGAACTCTATTCATATTGAATTGTGAGTTACTATGTGAATCATGGGAACATTAAGAGAATCAAAGAGATCTATGTATAATCACAATGATTTTAAAAAGAAAACTTATAGCTAGGGAAGTTACGTGGTGACTTTTAAAAGATGTCTGATCGTTAATCTATGTGAAAAGAGCCATTACTGGTGACTTGCATGAGAACAATACTTGAACATTCTTGTCATTAAAAAGCTTAAGTCAATATCCTCATTATGTTGTTTGTAAGTGGTGTTGCATTCGTAACATAACTAGAGAATAAACTATTCTAGTCAGTTGCCCATATTAAGTTCTTACCTCTTCAGACTTGTAACTGATGAGCGTGGTAAATACTCTCCGGATGAATTCTCATCTGTTATGTTTTCGAACCGTGTTTCAGTTGTAACTTGTTAATATAACTGGATAATAAATTATTCCAGCATAGAAGTAGCACTGTGGAGGGAACTCGACATGCAAATTATCGGTTCAGTTGGTTTTAGTCAATTTCAGTCAAACCGAAACTGAACCTGCCATTACGCTGAATCAAACTGACATGAACCGAGATCTTTCGGTCCAGTGCCATTGGTACTTTTGGTTATTACATGCCTTAGCACAAAGAAATCACAGCAGGAAATGGGGACAAGGGCTGGAAACCATAGAGAAGAAGCGCTCCTATTTGCAAATATATGAAAATAAGACAAAAGGGAGAATAAGGAAAGTGAACAATTGAAGAAGGAGAAGACGTGGTTGAGAAATAGAGAAATGGCCATGTATTTGTTTGGCGTTTATTAGCAGAAGGGTGGAAGGTGAGAAAATGAGTGGATCTATCTCATTATACTTGAATAAAAATAATAACTGGAGACAGCTTGCTGTGAGTTGTAACCCTTATCAGGGGTGCATTGTGGGCCTGTAAGGAGTGCGAACAAGTGTTCCATTTCCTTAAAGAAAGGACTAGGCAATTGGTTTTAGTTGATGCCAATTTAAAAACGTCTAACTTGACCTGACCCGATTCACTGCAACAACCAAACCAAACTGCCTAAATCAGGCGGTTTAGTCTCTTTGAACGGCTAAGACTGTAGTTGACTCAGCCATACCTGTACCATAATTATAGCAAGAATTGAGAATGTACCTCATGTGTATCCCCAACCTGATTGGTTCTTTATGACGTGTGATTAACCATTTGTCATAATATAAATTGCATTGGTACGGGTACGGGTACAAGACACGACAAATTTGTAAAAGGTAGGGTCTGGAGCCACATCTATATATGTAAGTTGTGTCTATTTATGTACTAAAATTAATAATTTACATAAGATCAATGTTGTTTTTTTCATTTACACAAGATCCAATAGATAAGAAATAGATGTTAAAGTGTAGAATATATGTCCAAGAAGTGTATGAGGATATTTTTTTGAATTAGTTTTAATTAACACATTTATTATATAATGGAGTATACGCCTGAATAAATGTATGTATATATTCAAAAAGTGTCCAACAAGTTTTGGTATGGGTATAGGTACATGTACGTGCTGGGTATGGGTACGGTTTCCGATTTGAAGTACCCTGGTAACTTAGGTCACAATGGTGAGATTATGGAGGATGTGAAGTAGTGAAGGAAGTGATTCTAAGCACTTTTTGACAGCAGAACATTAAAAAAAAATTCCTACTATTATTAACAAGAGCATTTTTTGAGCACGAGTCTTTCTCCTCCTATGTGATCGTTAGTTATCGAGAGAAGTATTCATATAGCTGACCCAGAAGGATAGAATAATTGCTTTACTTTGTATTTGCTTATTGACAAACTTTTTTGGCTTATAACTAGCCCGGTGTTTGTGATTTTGGTTATACATTTGCTAGTATCTTCTGTTTTAACATATCGATGCGTTGTGAACTTTCTCCATTTGTCAGTACAATACGGCAACAATTGATCAATACTGGAGACATACGCCGGATGCGGAAAAAGGTTCCTTGCACACGTCCTGAGATCTGGAGAATCCAAAACAGTTTACTTGAAGATGACATTTTCGGCGAATCCATATTTACTGGTGGGCACACTATGGAAACTTTTAAAACTCTTCCTATGTTGCCTATTTGCTTTATATTTGTTATTAATGCCATCATGAGCGTTGCATATGTTGTTTGTATATTTGAATTTTCTGATCTTTCTTCATGTTTTACGGCTCAAGATCTCAGTTTTGATGGAAATGCATTCCTTGTTGGTAAATGTTATTTTCTACCTGCAGGTGTATCTGAAGAGCTGAATAGATTACTCGCTCGGGGATATGGTCTGGCCCAAAATGTACATTACCCAGCTAATGGACAACATACAAGTAGTGAAGCAACACAAAATTTGGCAAGTTCAGGTTTTGTGAGGGACAGTAACGGAAGAGAAGTGGCTGAACAAAGTGCGACTGTTCCAAAAATAGTTGGTGGTGAAGTACAAGTACCTTCAGGCACATCAAAGTTGATTGAGACAGAGATTAGCAAAAATGCTGCCAGTATTGATGCTCAAGAGCAACTGGAAGCCCCAATTAATCCTCAGCCGGTTACGCCTAGACCTGAGTGTCCAGTTCCAACAGACTCCAGAGCTGAAGAGAAGCATCATGACATGTCCACTGAACTGGATCAGAACTCACTGAATAAAGTATACCAGAATTCTCACGAGCTTGCTAAAGTCAATAATACCACACTTAATGCTGGGCTCCCTTCCATTGAGGGTTTCACTTCTGCTGAATGTGCATCTAGATATCTGGTAAACAATAATGTTGGACCTGCTAATGCTAACAATGATACTTCACTTCAAGTGGACGATTTCTCTAATGGTAATGCTGCGTCCATCACTGTGGAAGACATGGGCGTGGATATAGTAAATATAACTAACGCAGAGTGCCCTCAAGATAATCCAGCCAACATGAGCAAGAATGAGGATGGTGAGACACAAGCATCCATGCTGGATAGATTTATTGATGAAGTTGGCACAGATTTCCCAGCAGATTCCTCAACTATTGTTGGGCATGCAAATTCAGTCCCAGATTTGGGCTTAGTTGATGGCGAGCCGGTTACCAGAGCTTACCAGGCCATGAAGCAATCTGAAGAGGGAAAGATCAATTCTGGATATGAAGTCACTGTGGATGAGGAAATGCTCACGGATGATGTTCTTGATGGAGGGAGGCATCATACGGTTTCATTTCCTATTCCAACAAGCACTGGAAGTGAACGTGTGCCCTCTGCAGTTGGTGAAAATTCTTGCATGAACACGGAAGGTGGTATGGATGTAGAAAGTACGCATATGGAATTTGGTGTCACAAGAGAACCTAGCGTAAGTCACACAAATCAATTAGTTTGTAAATAAAAATCTGTTACTAAGACCATAATCAAATTATAGTTCATGAGGATACTGATGCACAGAGATAAATGACCTTGCACTCATTTATTGTACTCATCAAATGCACATGGTTTAGAGCATATAATCATGCTGCTGTTCTCATGGCGCTGCATTTTCTGCATTATGTTATCCTTGCGTTCATCTGTCTGCAATTAACTTATTGATCACTTCTCCAGAATTAAGTTTTGGCACTATCGTAACTACTTGGTTTTCTCAACATTTTCCTTTTATTCTTGCACAGGACTTCTGCAGTGCCATCGATGACATTGATACAGGTAATGTCTTTTCTATGATTGAGAGTTGCAACGTGACTACGTTATTTTATACAATAATAAATCAATATATTTTTCATGTCTCTGGTCTACCTTCCGAGTATGTGTCTGTGTGCGTGTGCACGCGCGCGTGTTAGATTTATTTATATTTTATGGGATCTGGATATATATGCATATTTATAATATAACATAACAATGCAAAATGCCCGTCATTAACTCTAATTATTACTTGATTCTCTTTACTTTACACCGAATGATTACTTATGCTTGCTTGGGGAAATGAAATGGTTATTTGATCATCCAATTTGGCAAGAATGTATATATTACAATAATCTGGATAGGTGAATTTATGTATGCCTTCTTAGTGTGTGGATGGGTGAGGTTTATGCATGCCTATATTTCTGCATGGACAAATGAGGTTTGCATTTGCCTTCCTTTAGATTAGAGATCATTAGAAAATATCTGGATAGATGATGTTTGTACATGCCTTCATCATAGTGCATGGACAAAAAAGGGCTGGCAAAGGGTTAAATATTGCCAAGTGGAACATACGCTTCTGTTGTGGGAATGAATGAATTTTCTTCAATGGAGAAAGAAAATGTGTTCTTCTGTCGGAGGCCCCTCTCAGTAAGTGAATTGGTTTCCCTCTTGGCTTTTTGATAGGACTGATGCATATCTTTGATTTCTAAATAGTATGCCAGAGTTTTTAAACAATAACCTTTTTCATAACAAATAAGTTGTATATAAAAAGGAAGGTTACTAATCTCTAGACGAGCATAATACATATAAAACAGTGAACACTTTTTTTGTGATTTTTATGTTTATTTTCAATACATCTGTTGCATAAATAGTGGGGAATGAGATCTTCTACTCTGGCAGTTGATACGTCCCATACCTATAAATAATGATATATTCATAGCTGGTTTAGGCTAGTGCATTTCAATTGAAGGTTCTCTGTTCTTTGTCAGAAACAGTAATAGGAGTCCCTTCTGTCAAAGAAGGGCGTCTTCTTTTAATCTGAAAAAGGGAGAATGGTTCACATAACAGTGACATCCTTATTCCTTACTGTTTGTAAGGAGTGGAGGATTTGCTTGTTGCTAGAGATAGATTGAATGTTGTAGCTCACAAGCCAATTGTGTTCTATCGGTGATTTTCTGATTCCAGTTTTGCAAGATTTTGGAAAATGAGATCCCATTAATGTCTTCCATTCTGGGTTTCTGTATATATAAGTGCGCCTGTGCATTTACAGAGGGCGTACAAAATCTGTGTGGTTTAATCTTATTTTTTGTTTCTTCCTGTTTACTAGATTTCCTGAATGTGGATGATGAAGCTGATGAGTATGATGAAGAAACAAATTGTGATGTGCCAAATACTGAGGCCCAATCCTTGGAGAACAGCGGATGGTCTTCTCGCACAAGGTGAGTTTTTTACTTGCTTGTGCTATCCTTAACATAGATTATACATGCCAAATTGCTCACTTTCTAGCAGTTTTTTGTGTTTGGTACATTATTGTTTTTCAGATGAATCTTGAAATATTTGTAAATCTTTGCAGGGGTGTAGCAAGGTATCTGAAAAATATATTTGATCAAGAATCTGGACGTGGGCGAAAATCCGTTGCAATTGATCATCTTTTAGCTGGTAAAACTCGCAAAGAAGCATCTAGAATGTTCTTCGAGACTCTGGTATGTCAATCTTCTGAAGCTGTGCATATCAATTTCTGGAGATAACATTTAACAAATATTCAGCCTAGACTTATCAGAATAATGGATCCTAAAACTTTTTACTTCTGACTGTGATATGTTCTCCCTTCATTCTTGTTCTCTATGGGCAGTGAGGGGTAGGGCACTTGGATTTGCCATTATCATTTTCTGCTCTCAAGAGATATTTTAGGTCTCTAGGTTGCATTAGCTGTCAGATCCCAAGTGTCGTTCCAATGGATGAGTTTCAGATTACTGTGTGTAGTATCACTATCTGAATCTGATCCAGAAACATTCTGGGTTGGTTTTTCAATCACTGACATATATTTCTAGTTTTCACCTTTATTTCTGATCTTGTTGGATTGCTGTTCTTATTCATGTAGTGGATCTGCAGATGTTTTTTTTTTTTGACAAAATTGGAAGAAATGATTCCTCAGTATATTATATTTTTATAGAATATATTTTGATTTTTGTAAATAGATATTTTATATTTTTATCTTGGAGAAGCATGAGCTTTAAGCTGCAAGGTTTGTTCTCTGTAATGTTGCAAGAGTACTTATATCATGAAACCATATTTGTACCGGACACAGCCCATGCCCTTACCTGTACCAGACGCTTCTTGGACACTCCTTAATTATATGCATACGTTTTATTTAGACGTGTACTCCATTATACAACACTTGATTATATATCCTACATTTCATGTCCACTTTGAAACTTGTTGGACAAGGATCATGTTCGTTGTAGCCGATATTCAGTTAAGAATTACGATTTTGAAGGGTCATTTGTCTATCGTGTATCTAGCTCAGTAACTATGCTTTCAGCCCATATGTTCAAGCTGTGCCCCGTAGCCTATCTTTTGCAAACTTGCCTACCTTTAATAAATTTGTCGTGTCCCGTACGCGCACCCAGACCGGCACTCATACCCGAACCTGTATTCAACTTATGTTCTCTGCCATCTGCAAGATTCTCTTTAGCTAACGCTAGAACAGCTATGATATCACCATGACCTTGCAACAACAAAATGCTGGAAAATGTGGTTCTGGAAACAGAACTTAAGTAGTGTGTGCGACAGCTAGTTCAGATCTTTTTTTCTGACCCTTAAAACTTCAGCATCGTAGTTAACTGTAATGTCACAGTTACATTTTTCTTGTTCCTTTGTTCTCAACCAGGTGCTGAAAACGAAAGATTACATTCATGTCGAGCAAGAGAACCCTTTCGACTTTGTGAACATAAAGCCTAGAATAAAGATCTTGAAGTCAGAGTTCTAATCTTCAGCCAGGGGACAGGATACAGTATAGATAGCCCTATAATTTATCTTTTTACCAAAGGAATCTCCACCCAAGCTGTTGTTCTGTAACTTTTAAGTTATTACAAAAATTATTCATGTTGTTGGTTGCTGACCTTTACCATGGTTAATGGATTGGAGATGGGAGAATAGCACATGTATTTGTATGCTGATCGTATCTGATGTAAATATGTTGTAAATTAAATTCATTTGACATTGGTTCTTACATTGTAAGTTAGTTATCTATGTCAAATGTAAAAGTTTGTTTTCTCATGAAATTTTCTGATCCAGTTCTCCTCTTACTGTTTCACATCTGATAATTTTGTTGTGATGCTTCAGTCTGGTTTCACATCTGATAATTTTGTTGTGTTAATTTGTTTCGTGTTTAGTAATCATTTTTGATAAATGCTTCTCTTTCTTTTCTTTTTTTTTTCCACTCTGATTAATTCATTGGGAAAATGTGTCGGGGCCCCAAAAGCTGAAAAATCATGTAACGATGCCTCTTGTATTTTTCCCCTTGTGTATAAGCCCTAAAAAGCAGCCTTTAATATTTCTAGAGCCCTCCACGTCAGCTGTATACAAAAGAGGCATTGTATTTTGAAAAAAAAAACCCGAGTTTGCCCTTCTCCTTCGTCCCCAGACGCTTCGTCACATCTCATTAAATGGACTGGACTCGATTATTGCGCCTCTATTTCAAGAACCCCGCCTCTATTTCTCTCTCTTCCAAAATACAAAAGAGCCACCGAAACTCTTGAACTTCCATTTTCAGCGACGGAGTTTATTTACAGGGCTAGATTTTTCGCCGGAAAATGTCGTCCAGGGAAGCGGAATCGGTAAATGACTACGACATCTCTCATCGCGGCGATTTGAAGGAAAAAGACGGTTCATCTGGGGTTGGCAGCGCAGAGGAAGCCACTCAAACCCTCATGGTAATGCAAAAGCAGGCCCTAGAATGACGAAACCGCCAAAGAAGAACGGCGAAACCGCCAAAGAAGAACGGCAAGGGCTGGTCGTGCCATCGTACCCCCCTAGAAAAACAGTAAGTGCTAGGTTATCAACTATTTGGGGTTTCGAAGTAATGTGCCCTAATGTTAGTGCTAGGCAATGTTAGTTCTAGTTTGAATCCATGTTAGTTCTATAGCAGTCGGCGTTAGTTCTATTAAATGTCGTTTAGTGTTAGGTCTAATTTAGTTCACGTTAGTTCTAATTGAACTTGAAATTTTTATTTTTACAGGAAAAGGCTTGCTGAAAATAACGCGTTTGAATCATTAAGGCTAACCGTCAATATCATGGGTTATTGGCAATTCATGAAGTGTATTGCTCCGAAGATGTGTCAGTGTCACAGGGATGCATATCGCGGATCGATATTTCAGCACTACATTTTATTCGGGGCTCTTGCGCCTGATCGCCCCACGCTTGAACTGCTGCTGAGTTATTATGATAGAGCCAATGACACATTTTCTATCCCTGATTCAAAGACTGGGGGCTTGAAAAGTGTTAAATTTGATTTGCAATGGGTTCATAACCATACATACTTCCCAGCTTATGGGGAAGTCATACATATCAACCGGGACTCAACAAACAGAATCTGGTTACAATACTTCGCTCATCTTTTCAAAACTGAAGATGGGAAGAAGTTAAGAAAAGCAACAATCACCCATCGAAGATACCTTGAAGGGCAGCTGGAAAGGCTCGTGGAGTCTACAGAAGAAGAGGATATCCAAGATTTTGTTCTAGTTGGGGTCACAATAGTTCTAACGGAGTATCTATTTGTTAGCTCTAATTTATGCCTTGTTAGTTCTGATTTGAATGCTTAATGTATTTGCTTTAGCTTTGGTACTATGAGATGACGGGGTTAAAGAAATATGCCTACGTCGACAAGTCCAGACCTCCAATGACAAACTGGGCATCAGAAAAGGAGGTGAAAGTCTCATATTTGAGGGTGAGGACCGTTGCATTGAAGGCTAAATCAGCTTCAATAACTGACGTTGATTGGCCTGTTGTGGAAGTTGGGCCTGCTCCTTCAAATGTTATTGCACTTCCCGCCGTTCAGGGGAGTGAAGGGGTGCGTCATGTGCCTAAGTCAAAGAGGAAGGCGAGGGCGGAGGAAACGAAGAACTTCTCAATAGGCTATTTAAGTATCTTGTTAAGTCTAAGTTGTTTAAAGGTAAATGTAAACAATATCCATGTATGTATAATCCTATTTTATTATAATATAATCTCTTAATAATTTCAGATCATGTCAAAACATATTGACAATACTTTTAAAGATGAAGAGGAGGTGAAGGATCTACCAATTGAGCAGCAACTTACCTTTTAGAGAAATTCTGCTAAATTCCTCCAACGACTACTCTTTGTCACAAAACAGAGCAAGAGTACATATTGTAAAGAATTTATGATTGAGATCAACAGGCTAAACAAAATATTTGAAGAACTTAGAAGACCTGATGAGGTCATAGACCCGGTGGTGCTGAAGGCAAATATCAAACAAAAAATTATAAAAAAATAAAGTCGAACCCACGACCTGATGAGGAGGAACAACCTTCCAAATCTAGTAGATTACATAAGGAAGACCCCATCATGCAAGAAGCTGAACATAAGATGGTTGAGGATGATGCTGAGGAGCTTGTTGATGATGTTGTTGTTCATGGATATGAAGTTGATTTGGAGGACACCACAATGGAAGGCAAAGTTGTGGAGGTTGTTGGTTCAATGGAAGAAGGAGCTGATGTTGGGAATATAGCTGAGGGGAAAGCTATAATAAAAGGGGAAGAGGGGGAGGATGTCGCCCCCCAAAAGAATGGTGAAGTGGAACCCCCCGAGAATAAAGCTGTGGAGAATTCAGATAGAGAAGAGGTTATTGTAGATAACAAGGTTGAGGATAATGTAGATAAGGAGGAGGATAATGTAGATAGGGAAGTGGATAATCTAGAGGAGGAGGAGGAGAAATCAGAGAAGGAGGAGGAGCTTGTTGGTGGAGAAGGGGGGATTGTAGATAGCATGATTGAGGAGAATGTACAGAAAGAGGCGGAGATTGTGTATAGGGAAGAGGAGCATGTTGGAAGAGAAAGTGAGAATGTAGATAGTTCTGCCGAGGCCATTGTTAATATTTCACATCAGGTGGACAAAATCTTAGAAGCTCTGTCAAGTGATGTGCAAACAGAGAAGATTGTAGCAGCCCCACGGAGGAAGGTTCGAAGGGCAAGTAAGCGGTCTAAATGGTGTAAGACCCCATACACAGAGGGAAAGGGAAAGAAAAAGCCAAAAGTTATTATAGATGTACATGCAAGTCCTTATGATGTACACACAGTTGACAAAGTTACCCATTTTTATAATGGCAAACAATATCCCACTTGGGATGAGTTGAGTTTGAAGGCAATGACGGCTGAGGAGGAAGGTCTATTGGGCGAGTTAAATAAAAATATTCCAGACACTGCATTGTTTAGCATACGTATAATAGATAGCAGGGGTACCTTTGTACATAATTTTAGGATACCATCTGAAGTATCTGCTAGACTCTCCGCAGCTGAAAATAATTGCCTAACCAAGTTTTGCTCCCAAAAGAATCACAAGTAAGGTTCAATTGACTATTTATATGCTAATTCGTTACATGTTAGTCCTAATCCATGTTAGTTCTTATTTTAAGGAGATATGATGTTATTAAAACAGCCAATAGCACTTTGAACAGAGAAGAGCTGTTGTATTTGCTTCGTGGTGGCCGGCTTGATGACAATGTTAGATTATATGCTTAATAATGTATAAAGTCTTGTTCATATATTGAATTTTAATGTTTCATTGATGTTACAGATGGAAGAAGCATTGTTGGACACGATCCTCCAAGAATCATATGACAAAAAATTTGGCGTCGTCTCGGTGTTCTTTCTTGTAAGTACATGTTAGTTCTAAATTATCGTGGTAGTTTTGACGAAAATGGATGTTAGTTTTAGTTCTAGCCATGTAAGTTCTGCATTAGCCATGTTAATTCTAGTTTGCGTCACGTTAGCCCTAACAACTAGAATGTTAGTTCTAGCTTATAACATGTTAGTCCTAATATAGAAGCAAGTTGGTTCTATCTTCCCTCATGCATAATACTGAACATTACGTGCTACTATTGGCAGCACTCACTTTACTCCGTCGACCCATCGCATTACGAGCTATTTTTGCAATATATTGAAAAATACACAGCCGTTCGCATAGAGTATCTGTTGATTCTGTTGGTCAGGCACGACCATTGGCATCTGGTTGAAGTTGATGTGAAAGAAAAGGTCGTCAACCACTACAGTTCTGCTGGCCATGAAGCTTGGATGGAGCCTGTTCATAAAATCATAAACTATTTTAATGAACAGCAAGTTGATTTTGTAAGGTCAAATGTATCCAGAGTATTTAAATACATGGCCATCAAATGCGAGCAACAAAGAGGGAGGTTAGTTCCTTCGTGTAAAGCGTGTTATAGTTCTATCTCTAGGGAAAATGTCTAATATAGCATACTATATTGCAGCTATGACTGTGGTGTATTCGTCTACCTCTACATCCAAGCAATAATTCAAGGTCGCTTGACATTGCGGGTAAATCCTATGGACGAAACCCCTGAAGCTATGCGAGCGAGGGTTGCCGCACAATTATTGTTAGCTGGTTGTGAGCAAAGACATGAAGATGGGTCAGCTTATAGTGATGAATGACATGTTTATACAAAGAGAATGATTCATTGTTTATAAAAATACAATTATGTATGTAGCAGTTAGATTGAAAATGTACATTAACAGAGGTATTGGACTCTCTAATGTCCTGTTGTTGGTCAAAAAGAGCCCTTGTTAGCTCTAATTGCAGTTACGACTATTATAGCTCTTTCTTGTTAACTTTATTTGAGCATTAGTTTAAGTGTATTACGTTCGTTTCTGCTGGTTCAATCTCGTAGAAGCAAAAATAACAAGTGTGCAAGTAAATTACGAAGGCTGGGTTTAGAACTGTCAAGGTGTGGGCTAGAACTGGCTGTATACAAGATAGAACTAGGGTAATACAAGTTAAAACTAACGTAGAAGCTAGAATTAACAAGTTTGCGTTAAAAAACAGGGGTTGGGTTTAGAACTAGCAAGGTGTGGGCTAGAACTGGCTGTATACAAGCTAGAACAAGGGTAATAGAAGCTAGAACTAACGTAGAAACTAGAACTAACAAGTTTGCATTAAAAAACGCGGGCTGTGTTTAGAACTAGCAAGTTGTGGGCTAGAACTGATTGTATACAAGCTAGAACTAGGGTAATAGTGGATAGAACTAACGTAG